CTGGGATTTTTTTTTTAACATCCTCTCTCCCTCACCCCCTTCTATTGCCACTTGAGCAAATATCCTCAGTCTGCTTAATAAGGGAAGAAAAATGTCCGCATATCTGAAAGCGCGTTAAGATAATCTCAAAAAAGGGAAAATCAAGAAAATCAAAGAAATCTATAAAAAAAATAATAGTCAAATGATGTCATTTCCAATTCCTGATTTTTCCCCCCTCTAAATGATTATCATTGTAAAATCAGGTAAGGATTGTGTAAAGAAATATAGGTTGCTTTTCGAACGTCATTGGTTTTACTTCAGGTTATCTCTCAAGACGCCAAAAAAGGCCTTTCACCTTGAGACGTCAGAAGAGACTAGGGTCATTCTGCTAGCCATTGCCAGTCTGGTATCATGGTATACTAGCAGAACCCAGGGTCTTTGACCTTCCGGGAAACTACTTACTCTCCTAAAAAAGCCAACTTTGGAATTGTTTCTCTTTCAAGAAAATGACTTCGAGAAACACGTTGCCAAGCCGGGAGTCCCCCAGGGCATTTTACTGGGTCCTCTCTTTTTATTATTGTCTATTTCGGTGAGATAATGAAACATCACTGAATCAGTGGCGTTTGCTCAGGATCTCACCATCCACACCGGTTATCTTCACAAAGCAACTTAACGCTTGCTTCCCCATCATTTAAACCGTTGCTTCTTTGGGTACAATTTGCATATAGATTTTTTCTTGCGAAGAAATCACTCTTACCAAGCCAAGGAAATATTATAAAAATAATGAAATCAATCTCCTATACATAAATATCATGAAACTTACTGAATCATCGAACTCTAAGCTTTCGAGCAAATATATAGCGACCATAGCAATAAAACATTCACAAAAGACTGCAGTATTTCGCATGCTTTAAAACCCGGCGGAGAAACAGCAAATCACACATTCACTCCAGAATAGAATATGGATGTCTGCCTTGGAGTGCCACGCAACCCTCTCGCTTTGGTAGGAAATGTGTAAGATAGAATTCAACGTTTCAGTGACATATTACCCCTCTTGCCACTTCACAATAATAATACATGAAAGCAACAATATAATCTCTTGTTTGAAGTTTATAAATGGATGTGGTAGGTCTGCCTGATTAAGACTGACGATTGAAGAATACATACAAATTATTATCTGCAATGCTGTTATATAACTACAGCAGGCAGAGACCTCCCAGCAAGTTCTCCTTGTACAAATATAGATGAATGTGGACGGTGATGTTAATGCGTGATAATTTTCAAAATAATTTCACGGTTTTAAACTTCCTAATTGTGGTACTATAAGCAATGCAACATTACATGCATATATTAACTTACGCTGCATGATACAGAAATATATCACTCTTGTTTTAGTATTTCTTATACCAATGCAATATCCTCTGAATAAAAGCACAGGTAAAGAAAAGGTTTGTGAATGGATGAGAGAGAAAGAGAGGAGAGAGGAGAGAGGTGAGAAGTGAGAAGTGAGAAGTGAGAAGTGAGAAGTGAGAAGTGAGAAGTGAGAAGTGAGAAGTGAGAAGTGAGAAGTGAGAAGTGAGAAGAGAGGAGAGAGAGAGAGAGAGAGAGAGAGAGAGAGAGAGAGAGAGAGAGAGAGAGAGAGAGAGAGAGAGAGAGAGAGAGAGAGAGAGAGAGAGAGAGAGAGAGAGGAGGGAAGAAGAGAAGAGAAAAGAAGGAAAGACAGACTGACAGACATAAAGACAGGTAGGTGCATAGAGAGAGAAAGAAAATGGAAAAAAGTGAGGGATAGAAAAAGAGACACCAAGAAAAGCATGAAAAGGAAGAAAATTTCAATAAAACGGGGAGAGACAAGACAAAGAAGGAAGCATGCTAAAAAGTAATAAATCAAGAAAGAAAGAAAGAAAAAATATAGAAAATAGATAAACCAAAGATATTTACGGGTTGACCAGGAAGAGGAAGAAAAGGAAAAAAAGATAAAAGAGGAAGGAGGAAGAAAAGGAAATTGATAAAAGAGGAAGGAGGAAGAAAAGGAAAATGATAAAAGAGGAAGAAGGTGAAAGGGTAAAAGACTAAAGACTTACGAGAAACTGGAGGGTGCTGAAGATTTAACGATGACAGATGGTCGCTTTATCTCGCCGACAGATGGTTCGCCTCTAACGGGCTCACCATTTCCGTAATATCCAGGTGATCTAGGGGATTCGCTGCCAGGTGGTTCGCTCGCTCCGGGGCCAGGTGGTTTAGCAGACAGGTGAACAGGTGCATCGCCCAACAACCGCGCAGATGGTTCGATAATTCGCTCTCTCGTTGCCTCTTCCTCGGCGACACCAGCTGGTTCACTTGAATTGGTGAGGCAGAGAACCCAAAGATGGTTTTCTTGTCTAACCGCCAGCTGGAGTGCAGGCTCATCGGCTGGGCGGATAATGTACCAGCTGCTGTCCATTTGCTGGAACAAGAAGTGGAATATTCTTAATGCTGGTCATACCATTGCATTAATTATTCACGATTGATTCTAATTATCACCACCTTTGCAGTTTATTACCATCAGCATAGTCTATGATGGTGGTAATATGTTTTGCACTTTTATCATAGTCTTCCCTAATTATATCACAATTTTCTTCAATGGTATCATCGTGTTATTGGTCTCACCATTGCGATATTTACATGACACACTAGCGAAATATAAAACTAATATTTGTAATAACAAGCACGAACAACCACCAACGCTTGATTATATTAAGCAAATAGTAATTAGAAAAAATATTGAATAAATAAGCCAAAAAAATTTTTACATCGTTCCAGTAAAAAAAATTTCCTCAGATAGAAAAATAAATTAATGTATAACGTGCTTTATGTTTTTTTTTTCTTTTTTTCTGACCCGCTAAGCTTTTAGTATATTACTCGATGCGTCTTTTAGACTTCAATATCTAATACAGTAAGTGGGCATATACATATATATATATATATATATATATATATATATAATATATATACATATATATATATATATATATATATATATATATATATATATATATATATATATATATATATATAGTATATATATATATATATATATATATAGATATAGATAGATAGATAGATAGATATATATACATTGGCATACACACGTATACACACACACAAATATACTATATACTATATATAGTATATATATATATATATATATATATATATATATATATGATATATATATATATATATATATATATATATATATATATATATATATATTATATATATATATATATATATATATATATATATATATATATATATATGCGTACGTGTGTGCATGTGTGTGTGTGTGTGTGTGTGGTGTGTGCATGAGTGTGTAAGTGTGTATGCTTGTGTGTTTGTCTGTGTGCATGTGTGTTTGGTTATGCGTATGCCTGCTTGCTTGTCCCCGCACTGCCCCAGTGCCTCCGCCTGCCTCTCACTCACCACAAACGGCGATTCAACCTCCAGATCCTTCATGATAGCTTCCAGAGACGGCTGCCCCTTCGGTTGGAAGTTGGCAATGAAGTACATGTTGGCAGGGGTTGGCACCAGCATCTCCCTGTCAACTGTCAGGGTGAATTGTACCGGGGGTAAACTGTAACTTGGCTGGGGGCGGTAGGGTGTGGTACGGGAATAAACGATTTGATTGAAAAGGTTTTTGGAATTTCCTGCGGTGGAATATATGGGAAGCGGATTGTTTCGTGTAGAATATTTATGTGCATGAACAATAAGAGAAAGAGGGAGAGGAGAGATGAGGGAGAGGAGAGGGAGAAGGAGAAGGAGAAGGAGAGAGAGAGAGAGAGAGAGAGAGAGAGAGAGAGAGAGAGAGAGAGAGAGAGAGAGAGAGAGAGAGAGAGAGAGAGAGAGAGAGAGAGAGAGAGAGAGAGAGTTAAAAGAAAACAGATAAATAAAATCTCTCTTTTTCCCTCTTTCTCCTCTCCCAACCTCCACTCCCTCTCTCCCAACCTCCCCTCTCCCTCTCTCCCTCTCCCCGCCTGCTTCTCCATCTCCCTCTCCCTCCTATCCCTCTTCCCTCCCTTCCTTCCTCTAACCCCCCGTGTTACCTATAGAACGCTCCCATCTCCCTCCTGAGCTTGGCCCTGTGACGTCGAAACCCGAGGATGAGGAAGCCCAGGGGGTTCATGTTCCTCCCGGGGACACTTGGGTAGCGCTGCGCCTCCACCTCGAAGCGAGTCATCACCTGCGGAAGAGCGGAGGGGGGGGGTGAAGGAGGAGGTTGAGGAGGAGGAGGAGGTGGAGGAGGTGGATGAAGTTGGTTAGGAGGTGGAGAAGAAGGAGCAGGAGGAGGTGGAGAAGGAGGTGAGAAGGAGGAGAGGAGGAGGAAGAGGAGGAGGTGGAAGAGGAAGTGGAGAAGGAGGAGAGAGGAGGAGGAAGGAGGAGGAAGGAGGAGGAGGAGGAGAAGAAGAAGAAGAAGAAGAAGAAGAAGGAGAAGGAGGAGGAGGAGGAGGGGAAGGGGAGGGGGAGGGGAGGTGGAGGAGGAGAAAGAGGAGAAGAAGGAGGAAGAGGAGGAAGAGGATGGTGATGAGGTGGAGAAGGAGGAGAAAGAGGAGAAGAATGAAGAAGAGGAGGAAGAGGATGATGATGAGGTAGAGAAGAAGGAGAAAGAGGAGGAGGAGGTAGAAGAAGAAAAGAAAAAGAAGAAGAAGAAGAAGAAGAGGATGAGGTGAAGATGGTGGAGGAGGAGGAGAGGAGGAGAACGAGGAATAGAAAAAGTAATCATCATGATGATTATCCTTATTAAAAAAAATCAATACGGATATCATGAAATAGTAATTATCATCATTATTATCATCATGAACATAATACAACAATAAATCATAACTGACGCATATTTTTCTTGTTTACGTTCGTACTTCCTTACTTTTTTCATTTATTTGCTTTTAGTCTATTTCATATCATTTGTCGGTTTTATTCGTTTATTTTTTTCAGGATGGCAATCATTTACTTTTCCTGTGTGTGTGTGTGTGTGCGTGTTTGCGTATGTGTGTGTGTATGAGTGTGTGTGTGTTGTGTGTGTATGTGTGTGTGTGTGTTGTGTGTGTGTGTGTGTGTGTGAGTGTGTGTATGTTTGTGTGCGTGTTTGTTTTTTTTTTTTGAGTGTGTGTGTGCGTTTATGTGCATCCGTGTGTCAATTTATCAGTGTTGTTTTTTTCTATTATTGCCGATCAAAGACGATGTTTTTGAAGAAATGAAGATTATGACATTTTGAAACTTGAGAATTATTTTTTGAACGTTCTTTTCACTCGGATGAACACGATTTTAATTTTGCAAAGGCAATGCATGTTTAAGGACACATTCTTCCCTTAGGTCATGCAATATATTTTTCTAACACGAATCCTTTACCTGGCTGTTGCTAATGAAATGCTTTGAAGGAAGTGCTTGGAAATTATGATACTTGAATTTTCTATCTTTTTATCTTCTTTGACTGAAGTCTTATTTTCCCTTTCTGTATCAGGAAAAAAATATTTTGTCTTCGCTGTCATCATTATCATTATTATATTTTTTTCTTGTTATTATTAGTATTATTATTATCATTATAATTCTCACTGACATTATTACTATTAGTTACGTTATCATTATTATATCATTGTATCATTTTATATCATTGTTATTATCATTATTATCATATTTATCATTATTATATCATTGTATTTCATTATTAAAATTGTTATTAATTATTATTATTATCATTATTATTATCATCACTACCATTATCATTATCATTGTTATTATCATTATTATCATAATCATAGTGTTATTATGAGTATCATCTTTATCATCATGGTTATCATTATCATTAACATTTTCATTATTACTATTACTTTATCATTATCATTTTCATTACTATCATGATTATCATCATATTTTTATTATCATTATTATTGTTACCACTATTATGATTATCCTTATTGTAATGATAATAATATGTATTATTATTACTATTATCATTACCATTGCCATTGTTATTACCATTATCATTATTACTGCCATCATCGTTATTATCATTATTAACATAACTGTTATTTTTATTGTTATCAATTTTAGTACTATAATTACTATTTGTAGTAATAGTATCATTATTATCATCGTTATTAGCTGTATTATTATCACCATTATTGTTATTATTAGTATTATTGATATCACTTGCATTATCTTTATAATCACTATCATTAAATTCATCATCATCATAATCATTATCATCATCATGTTTATCATCGATATTACTATTAGCTTATGTTATAATTTTTGTCATTATTATTGTTATTACTATCATTATTTTCATTACTATTATGATAATTTTTTAAATCATCATCATCATTATTATCATTTTACTATTATCATTATTTTTATCATTACCATCATTAGCAATACGACATTATCATTGTTATCATTATTATTACTATTATATTTTTATTATCATTAACATTGTGATCACTACCGTTATCATCAGTATCATCAACATTATCATTATCTTCATTATCATTGCCATCATTACCATTATTATAACCAATATCATCATTATAACCAATGCCATAATCATAACCATTATCCTTATTATCATTATCACAACTTTCATCAATCATCATCATCATCATTAAATCCTCGTTGTCATTACCTCCTCCAAGTACTCATGCCTGACCAGAGCGAGGGCGCTGAACAAGTCGAGAAGATTATAGAGAGCATGGGCGTGCTGGACAGTCGTGAGGCCGCCCACGTTCTTCCCCACGAGGTCGGAGGCGACAGTCAGAACATCGAGGCGCTTGAAGAACGTTCTCAGATGTTCTTGAAGTTCTTGGAGGGTCATGTTCTTCGGCCGGAGTGACGTGTGGGCGAGGTATTTGCGGGTGAAGTTGAGGGAAGCGTTGTAGACCTTGGATATCGTGAATGGCGGGGGCGTGGGTGGAGATGGGGGCGTGAAGCGGAATGGGCTATGGGAATGGGCGTGGGTATGGGCGTGGGTATGGGCCTGGAAGCGGGTGCGGGCGTGATCGAATGAGGGGGATCTGTGGGCGCAGGTGAGGGCGGAGTTGAACTTGTCACTGTAAAGATAGGTATATATGTGATGTGTGTGTTGCGTGTATGTATGTGTGTGTGTGTGTGTGTGTGTGTGTGTGCGTGTATGTGTGTGTGTGTGTTGTGTGTGTGTGTTGTGTGTGTGTGTGTGTGTGTGTGTGTGTGTGTGTGTGTGTGTGTGTGTGTGTGTGTGTGTGTGTGTGTGTGGTGTGTGTGTGTGTGTGTGTGTGTGTGTTTGTGTGAGTGTATACAACGTTTTCATGTATGTTCATGCGTTACGTGTGGATATTTAATGAATGCAACACTCATAAACAGACAAACACGTAAACAATGATTCAAATGCAATGCAGTCAATCCAAAGATATTTTAAAGGCAATTGAAATATCATAGAACATGTTGATGCATAAAATACATTACTGTAAATAAATATGTATACAAAATTAAATGGACTGTGGCTGATACGAACATGTTTTCACACTCTACACAATTAAATGGTTTAAATGCAGTTCTGTTTTTGAGTACTGACAATACACTACGTACTGACAATACACAAACGCACACACACATACAACAAACGACACACACACAACACAACAACAAACAAACACACACACAAACTTAATTATCAGTATAGTTACCGTCAGCTGATCATCCCGAAGAACGAGTGACGAAGAAGGAGAAGAGAGAGACGAGGAAGGACCAAGAAGAGAGGAAATAGAAGAGGGATGAGGAGAAAGATGGGAAGGAGGCGGACGAGGAGGCGGAGGATGGAGGGAAGAACGAGGAGGAGGAGAAGGAAGAGGAGAGAGGCGAGAAGGAGATGGAGAAGGAGGAAAACGAGGGGGAGAACGGGGAAGAGAGACGGGAAGAGAGGAAAGCTGAGGAGAATGAGGGAGGAGAATGGAAGGGTGATGGAGGAGGAGGAGGAGGAGAAAGTGGAGCTAAAGGGGGAATATGTGAGACGCGAGGAGGAGAATGATAGCGAAGAGGAGGAGAAGAAAGAGAACGAGAAGGCAGAAGACGAGGGAAGGGAGAGGGGGGAGGAGAGAGGGGCGTGACCAGGGAGTGGGCGTGTCCTGTCGTCCTCACATCACGCCTGTGGACAGAGCTTTGGTCAATTCCGGATTTTTTTTATTTGTTTTATTACATTTGCTTATCTATTTATCTATTTTCTACCGACAATAGCTGTTTGAGTGTACGTGCACCCGCGTGTGTGTGTAACTGTGTGTTCATGTGTGTGTGTGTGTAGCTGAGTTCATGAGTGTGTGTGTGTGTGTAGCTATGTGTACATGTGTGGGTGTACATGTGTGTGTGTGCGCTCTACACATGGACAGCATACAATGCATCATATGAAGTTTAACTCCATTTGAATTTCGCCTCTGTTGTCTCTCTTTCCAGTAAAATCACTTGTACATTTTGGGCGCTTTTGTCATTGCGTCAGAATTGTAGCGTTTTTTTTTGCCATCAATATCTATGTGTGCATTTACAAATCTATACACATTCAAAAAAAAAATATATATATATTTTCAACTCTAAAGTTAGGAAAGTTTTTTTTCCTACTTTCCCTGACACGAACTTTTTCCATAATATTGCAATGAAAAATGTATCATGAAAACTGTGAAATGAAAAATAAAATGTTTCATATGCACACAGACACATACAGATGCATATGTTCATGCATGCTCAGATACACACACACGCGGCGTACGTATGCGCGCGCGCGCACACACACACATTGGTTGCCTGGCTTTGTGTGTGCGAGTGTGTGTGTGTGTGTGTGTGTGTGTGTGTGTGTGTGTGTGTGTGTGTGTGTGTGTGTGTGTGTGTATATATATATATATATATATATATATTATATATATATATATATATATATATAAACACAAGTTTATACATACACAGATACACCCACACGCCCACGCAACGCCCAAACACAAGCACGCGCGCACACATACACACACACACACACAAAGCCAGACAACCAATGCTGGTTTACTCACTGCCGTTCACAAACCTTCTTCACTCGCATCTCCTTGGTCTTTCCCATAGTCCAGTCTGTCTGCTCGTCTCTGCATTGCAACTTTCTCAACATTCCTGTTAACTTTCACTCGATTCTATTTTATCAACGTTCTCGTGGTTCTCAGACACTTCATTCCCAATACCTAGCAGATGTTTTTTATCATTTCGGTTTAATCTTATTTTGTAGCTCTAATACCCCATGTTTTGTTTTGCATAAAACCTAATTAGCATAACCACACTATTGTACATAATCTACTTGCTCTCCTACCCCTCTCACACACATGCATGAATAGATTCAGGCATGTATGTATGCAGACATACACACACTTTTTATCTTTTATACGCACGAATTTACAAGTACATATATGATCATAAATAAAGTGGGTGTCATATTTAGAGAAAGGCTAGATCAGTAGCAACTCGAGGTGTCATGGCTTCTGTTTTGATGATTGTTCAATGAAAATATTACCCTTAAAATCATTATTTTCCATCCTTTTTGAATATTGAAGAGACCAAAATGATCGACCATATTCACAAAACATCCGTACCTTTTATGACGTCATCAAAATAAACCCCATGTGTTTCTTTCCAAAAATAAAATCAGAAGCCATGACACCTCCTCGAGTTGCTACTGATCTAGCCTTTCCCGCCATACTTATCACTGTTCCCATGCTTCTTTCGTGTTTCCGTTTTCTTGTCTTCACTTGTCCGAATATGATATTCCCCTTTTATACAATAAGCGTCGTTTTCGGTGGCACTTTCCCGCTGGTTCATTGGGTTCAAATCATGATAAATAAATAAATAAATAGAATAATAATGAAAACAAATTAAGAAATAAACAAAGCGAATGAATAAATAAGCGAATAAGAATCATGATATGAGAAAAACTCGGCATGATCTCAAGGTAAACATCGGAGAGAGAAAACGGACACCAAGAACCATAAAGAGAAAACGGGAATTTGAATTCTCTCGCTGTGGCGCCATCACTTGAAAGTTTCATGGACGAATCCCAACAGTCATAACAAAATTTCCCTTTCAATATTGCGTATTTTATTCATGCGTATATAGTGCCTCTCCTTTTAGAACGAAAATTGGACAGTATGGATAGAGATGTGAAACAACGATTTAGTCATAGGATTTCGGCTGCTCAGGTGGAGTTTGTGACGTCGCTTTCAGAAAAAAAAAAAAAAAAAAAAAATACACATGAGGATAATGCTAATACTCCCGATGATAGTAATAATGAAATAATGATTATACAAATGACCATAACAATAGTATTAAAAGTGAGAACGATAATTATTGTAATAACAATAGCAGTAGCAGTAGTGGCAATAATAATAATGATAGCTATCATTATACCAACAATAACAATAACAGTAACAAAACAATTATAGTAATAAAACAATGATAATTGTAATAATGGTAATAATAATGATAATGATAATAATAACAGTAATGATAATGATAATAATAACAGTAATGATAATGATAATAATAACAGTAATGATAATGATTATAATACAACAACAACAGTAATAATAATGATAATAGTGATAATTATGATAATGATTATAATCATAACAATGATAATGATAATAATGATAATAGTAATAATGAATTAATAACAATAATAACAATCACTAATAATAATGGTAATAACGAAAACAATGATAATAATAACAATAATAATACCATTAACGATGATAACAATAACGATAATAGTAATGATAACGACGACGATGATAATAATTCTCTCATTGGAAAATTTCTCCCCTCATCCGCTTAATAAGGGAAATTATTTGCACATTTCGGCTGCAAATCAGAGACTCAAATCCTGCAAAATGCGAATAAAACAAAGGCTTGTACGTTCCCACCGCTCCTTCGGTCCGCAAATATCTTTTCCTTTTCAACAGGTAGCGGGGGAAAAATTACCCACTTAGCCCTCAAATTAAAAACTTACACCACCCCCCCCCCTACCCCCTCCTCCTCCCCCCCCATTAAAGATCATTAAGCTCGTTTCCCTGACCATCTATCCCCCCCGTCCTTCCTCCCCCTCTCACCCCCTCCCCTCTTCTCCTACCCCCCCCCACCCCTACCCCCCTCTTGGTCGCAGATAGAAAATGTAATGAATTTAATTTCCTTTTTTCGTTTTTTTTCTTCTTATTATTATTATTTTTTCTTTCCTTCCTGATGCTTTATTCCAACCGAGGTAACATTCCGCGAGAAATATGATCTCAATTTTGGTCTAATTAGGAAGAATTTACCGCGGAGTTCAGAGTTAAAGAATAGAGGAAAAAGGAGGAAAAATAGGCTCGCTGTCTTACCTTCCTCCCCCCACCCCCCACCCCCAACCATGGAACTCTCTGAAAACAGCTTTAAAGTAAAAACATCGGCGATCTTTTATTTATTTATTTACTTATCTATTTTTTTACCATGTTTATTTGTTGGTCAGGCTCTTTTGAAGATTGTGGACAATTTTACGACCAAGAACAAATGATAAGGATTCGATTAATCAGCTAATTTTATCAAAGTGTGGACATGAGTATTCTTAATGAGGAACCAACACCTTTTTCGGATTTTTTCTTTTTAAACAATATAAAAAAAACAGTACATATACATAAGTATTCTTAATGAGGAACACCATTTTCGGATTTTTTCTTTTAAACAATATAAAAAAACGGTACATATACTTTATCAAACTTACGATTTAGATGCGTTGGCTGTCACCATCAGAGTCACTATCAACAAAAACTTCATCATCATCAGCGACTTCATTTTGACTCTGATTAAGAAAAAAAAACAACAACTTTATAATCCATTTCTATTCATTAGGATATTAAGTCGATCACTATCACTGGTATAGAAGTAGAGAAACGCGCATTAATATCACCAAAACTATCCTATATCGTTGTAAATAAGACGCACATGTTTGATAGCGTGGTGATAGTGATGATCCAACGGATTACAGGAGATCCACGGGTGGTTTAGGATCGAGACTGAACAACGTAGCACCACGGGGATGTTGTGGTGAGTGAGGGCATCTGCCACACCCCTCCTCCCCCCCTTTCTGGTTTTATCTCTCTCTCTCTCTCTCTCTCTCTCTCTCTCTCTCTCTCTCTCTCTCTCTCTCTCTCTCTCTCTCTCTCTCTCTTCTCTCTTTCTCTCTCTTGTTAGTTTACTGTTCTCTCTCTTTCTCGCTCATAGTTCTCTCTCTCTCTCTCTCTCTCTAGTTCACTATCTCTTCCTCTATCTCTCTCTCTCTCTCTCCTCTCTCTCTCTTCTTCTCTCTCTTCCCTCTCCCTCTCTACTCACTATATCTCTCCATCTTTCTTTCTTTAGTCACTTCTTTTCTATCTTCTCTTCTCTTCTCGCTGCCCTCTCTCTTCCCTCCTCTCTCCCTCTTCTTTCTCTAGTCTCTCTCTTAGTTCCCTATACCTCTCCCTCTTTCT